TTTGTAAAAAAAAAAAAAAAGGTGCCAAAAAAAAAAAATGGTGCCAGTGTTGGGAGAACTTGGATAAATCCTGTCTGAAAATCATTACTTCTGTGTGCCTTTGCATTGTGGGATCAAATCCTGTCTTCCTTCTCAAAACCAAGCAGTCACTGTTTAAAATGGCATTCCCCCACTCCTTTCTCTCACCTTTAGCTGCAAGCTACAGTACACAGGCCATTTAGTCCAAATTTACATTGTATACCTTCACAATGATTAAATAATCATTGTTGGAATTCAAGGAAGTATCTTCCTAGCCCAGAGGCTCCATGTGCCCTGGCCAATTCAGAATGTCTAGAGTCTAGATAAGAGTCTTGAGCTCATGCATAGTTTCTCAGTAGCTTGAATTTACATGTCTAAGCAGACCTGGAGATGGGTTCAAGCTACTGAACTAAAGTGTCAATACAGGCAATTATTATTATTATTTTTATTATTATTATAACATTTCTATTAGAAACATTGTAATCTCATTGTTACTGTGTGATTGACTGACATTTCTTTATCTGTTCTGTATGTGATGACCTCAGAATCTTATTGTAATCTCTGCATTCTGTCATCAATTGCCCTGTACCTGTGTACCTATAAATGCCCTATAATGGTATTGAAGCTTTGCAGCAGAGTTCACCTCTGCCTGCCCGGTAATGCATGCATTATCGTGAGTATCGCGCGAACCTGGGTAATACAATAAAGTCTCAGATGGTCTGGATGCTTGATCTTTCCCACGAACCCGAGTTTTATTCCCTCTTCTCAAAATGAGATTCCGGGATTCTGACAGCGGAACTCACATCGCCGCCGGCAGTAAGCACTCAGCATGCGACCACACACCAAAATCCAAGCTGAGCAGTGGAGCAGCGTCCCAAGCCTAGCAGCGCCCTCACTATCTCACTATCAGATAGCAGAGACACACAAGCAGCCCGCAGGCACTACGTTAATGATGTTTGCTGCTGATCTGCTACTCCCGACAGGTGATTCAAAATCACTTCATAAAATCCAATGGAAAAAAGGAGCTGGAACGCCGTTCCGGTGGGTTCTATGACAAAAAAAGCCCTGGTTATATGTGCCTTTGTGTTATAAAATCAAATCTACACCCCTTTCTCAGAAGGCACCAGCTTTCCAAGCCAGGTCACTTTTTTGGTGTTGCTGTTGCCTTAAGATGGCATTCTTAGCTAGACTGAGAAGTCTCACTAATATACCTGTGTTCTCATCAGTTTCTGAAAAACTCAAACAATGGTGTCCATTTGCTTCTGAATGAACACACCTAAGCATCTAGACCCACAGAGGCAACCCTGCTAGATGGTTCCTCATCAGTCACATTTGCATGTTTAAACAGATGCACTGGCTGACCTGAACTGTCAAGGATTTGCTAGACTGACCTATCAATACAGCAATCAGTAATGTTTTCCATACTATTGTTACCAGTATTTCTGATGGTTTAAAACATTACGTCATGCCTAAAGACATCAAGATGCTCTAGCCAGTAATATATTGCCATTAGTGACTACAGATATTGGGGCACCAGTCAATAAAGCAAAGGTTCAAACATTTGATCTTTCCCATGGACCCCAGTGTTTATTTCCTCACAAACTGAAAACCGAGATTCTGTCACAATGAGAAATGATTTCAAGTCTTCCTTCCTTCCATATTTTTTAAAGCTCGGGTTGGATTGCTCAATGTAACAATCATTTGCATTAGCACAGCTCTAGGAGTCACAGATCTCAGGGCTGCATTTGCAATCTCCTATTGCAGATGAAAAACTGATGTATAATATCTAATGAAACGGTATTTTTCTTGGTTTTTTTTAATAACCACTTAGTACTTCTTTCACATTTGGTTTAACTTCTCCCTTCCCTGGGTGTTGAGGTCCCAAATTGTTCTGGTTTTTTAATTGTTTTATTATTATTTGCCTTGCTATTTTAAATTCAGTTTGCATCCTGTATTTTTTTCCTTATCAGGAACTCGAGGCAGCTTGCATAATTCTCCTCCCCTCATTCTTGCCCTCACTACAACAACCTGGTGAGGTAGGCTGAGCTGAGTTCCTACGATTGATCCAAAGTTCCCCAGTTCGTGCCACGGTCTCAGTCCCTAGCTCTTAACTACCACACCGCACTGGCTGGGAAGTCAATCGCTGTAAAGTGGTATATAAATGCCAACAGTTAACACCTAAACATGCAGCATCTTTCATTCAGTTCCAGAGGATATAAAGGGCAAGGGCTTGGAGGAAGATCGCAAGATGTTGTTTTGCTTCAGTGCCCCCATCCCACGACTAGTTTTAGTTTGACGTGCCCAAAACTTTAACCAGTCCACTTCTGGCCAGCGCCCACTATCAATTTAATAAGCATGCGGGTCTGCTTGCAGGAGCACCAGTCATCCTCTCCACCTGCACTGCCGAGAATAGGACAAGGTCTGCTCCGCACAGATAAAGAAGCGATTTCCGAGTGCGTTGGTTAGGGTTGCCGGCGGTATATCAAAAATGTGCCCTCCAGTGGCCCATAGTCCATGGATGTTTTTTGTTTTTACTCTTCATAAGCAAACCTCTGCAGGCTTTAAAAGAGCCACGCAGAATATATCTTCAAGAGACTCCTTTTGTTCTTTAAGGTGCGAAGGCAGGGACTCTTGGCTATTTACAGTGCAGACTTGAAAGAAATCCGCGGGCGCGGACTGTGCAGCGGGATAAGGAAGTGATTCAGGCTGCTGGAGCATGTTCAAAGTAGCATGGGAGGGAGAGGAATGACATCAGGGGCTGCTTTGCGAATTTCCTTTTGTTTCGTTTGCCAGTTTGCTGCTCGGCTCTGCTTTATTTCGGGCTCGAGCCATCCAGAGCAGCGCGAGTCTGCAGGGCCCAGCGTTTTCTGCAGCAAAGTTTGTTGAAAGTTTGCAAAGAGGCGTCGTCGTCGTCCCGGAGCCAGGAATGCAATTAGCAGCTGCCCAAGTTGGTTAAAGAGAAAGGAGTAGAAGAAATTGAATGTAAGTGTAACGTTATTTTTTCCGCAGGAAGTGGGTGGTTCTTTCGAGAGGAATGCTTCTTTTCTTTTGTCCTTCTGCAGATTCTTATTTACGCTTGTTCTCACTTCAGCCTTGTTTGAAAAACAAGTTCGAGACGTGCAGTCCAGCTATAAGTAAAAATATCGCTCTAGTGACATGTTCAAAACTGCTCAATGCATTCAGGTTCAGGTTGTTTGAGCTACCTTGAGAACAATGGAGGAGAAGCATTGTCTATCCCCTGCTAAGAGACAAGAAACGTAGAAACTAACAGCTTTTGTTTGCCAGCACATATTCCATATCCTTAGGGATTGCTTAGATGCCTTTCTCTGGGATAGGGGATCAGGCCAGCACCTTTTGACCATCTCCAATCATTGCAGGATCTGAGAACAGTTTCATTTGGACTAAGAGCAAAACCCACAGCATCTGAATTCTTCAAGTCCAAAGAGGAGACGTTCTTTTAAAAATGCAATAGGATTTGAATGTTTAAAAGCCAAAGTGAAAATCCCAACTTACTAGCTGTAAATTGTAACTTTTCTAGAAATCTATGCCAGGAGCCCTGTTTTCATGCATTGTTGTATTTTAAAATGCAAATCTTTTGAATTTTCACAAGAAAGTAAGCAGCATTCAAATATGCACAGCTCTGGAACATTTACCTGTGGGTAAAAACACTTGTAAGTTTCAAATATTCTAATTTATGTTGGAGATGTGGCTGGCAGTAGGTGCATATTTCCATATGTGGTGGGAATGTGAATATATAATGACATTTTGAAAAGAGCTTTTTAAAGAAAGTAGTAAAATACTGAGTTTACATAATGAAGTAAATCCTGGAATTGCATAATTGTCAATGTTTGATAGAAAACAATGGAGATGGAACATTAAAGAATTAATGAATTTATTAGCAGCTGTTAGATTAATGATAGCAAAGAATAAGAAGATAAAATAATGGGTTTTATTATGTTTTAATATGCTTAATGTATTGTAAGGCCTTTGGCAGTTATAGGTTGCCTATAAATATGTAAATAAATAAATAAATGGTCAAATACTAAAATCTGTGGTGATCCAGCCCAGATTTTAGCAATTGCTTGAGTTCTGGCCATATGTCATATTCTCTTAATATTTTGGAATGCTTTGATGCAGCATTTAACACCAATTTTCACCCAAAGCCACTAGCTTAGCCTGGTGCCTTTTTCCAGCATAACTACGGAAAGTATATCTCTGCCTCCTGTGTATACAGAGTGGACATTTTAACACTAGCCTTTGATGCCGTGCTCCCACCTATGCACAGTTGTTGTTCGTGGAAACCCGAGGTGCTCACTTCAGTTCTCTGAATCAGTGTCTAAAGCAGTGGGTGTTTATAAAGTAACAATAACACAGTTTCCTTGCTGTAATCTGTCTTTTTCTTCTAAAAAAACACCCCTGAAAGACAAAATAGGAACAGAGATTGACCAAAGTCATGCCCTTGTGTTGTTGTTGTTAGTCGCGAAGTCGTGTCCGACCCATCGCAACCCCATGGACAACATTCTTTCAGGCTCTCCTGTCCTCCACCTAGACTCCACCTAGCCACCTCGTTCTCCGCCATCCCCTTCTTCTTTTGCCATGTATTGTTCCCAACATTAGGCTCTTCTCCAGTGAGTCCTTCCTTCTCATTAGGTGGCCAAAGTATGAGTTTTATGTTCAGTATCTGGCCTTCTAAAGAGCAGCCAGGGTTGATCTCCTTTAGTAGAACCTCTAGGTTTGATCGCCTTGCAGTCCAAGGGACTTGCAGGAGTCTTCCCCAGCACCACAATTCAAAGGCCTCAGTCCCTTGTACATAGAAATAATTCTGGGGATAGGGTATGCTGGATCTGACCAAGCAGCAATGATAAATAATAGAGGATGGCTTTGTACCATTTCTTCATTCTGAGAATCCTACTGGACAGAAAACTGATACATGGGTATTTCAAACCAGAAATTCTTCTTTCTGTAATACCTTATCCTATCCACTTCATTCCAGGCTTGCTTTTACAGAAGAATAGAAGGGAGGACCTACATTTGGGTGTGCCCAGAAGCAGAATATTTCTCTGAGTAATTTTCTACTGTGTCTCCAGGAGCATTAATGTGACCCATCAGAAAACAGCCTGAAGCTATGATGAATCGGAGGAGGGAGTGCCACTCTTATCTATACTCCTTGGTATAAATTAGAAGGCAGCCTAATGCTAAGTTACACCATGGGTCCATCTAACCCAGTGTTGTCAAATGAACTAGCAGCAACGGCTCTCTAGGGTGTGGGCAAGATCCTTCCTAGCTCTGCCTGATCATGCTGGGATCAGGCAAAACCTGTGCTCCATCAGCTATGCCCCATTTGGTAGACGTCAGTCTGCTGTTTCAATTGATGTTGAACTTGTTCCAATAAAACACACGCTATATTTCCCAGATTGCTGAACTCAACTGCTTCTTGCTGGAACTCTCAAGATAATTATACTATCATTGCATTGATTATATTTCTGCATCTTAGTAGACCCATTAAATCTGTTCCTCTGCCCTTTTGGAGAGCCTAATTTTGCATTCTGCTCTCTACTGATTTGTTTCAAAGTGGTCCACATTAATAGTAAAGGATCATGCAGAATTAGAGCTGCTGCCTCATAACTTTAGGAACTTTGGTTTAGATAGTGACCTTTGGACTATGCTGTGTGTATTCTGTTGGGTGACAAGCCTTTTTAACAGTATGTCACAATTACCTTTCGGAATGGCACAATACTTATTCAGATAAGCAGAGCTCTACAACTGTACCTAATAGAACAGTAGCCATTTAGCCTATAGACTGTTATAATTGCCTTCTGCAGAAATATCTAAACAAAGCAGGAAAAGCTGGCATTGAAACTCCAAGAAGTTTTACAGTGTACAGTTACCAGGGTGTTCGGTCCCTTAGGTCCAAGTTAAAAGCAAGATCTCTGTAAAGAAGCAGAAGTTTGGCACTTGTGGCAAAAGGAGAGGAACTTAAAGCAGATGTTGAACTGCCAAAGACACTTTTGTAGGGCAAGTTTTGTTTGCTTCTTCTTTCAGTTAAGCACAGTTATTTATGTACTTGCCATCTGTATGCTCGCATAAACTGTGCCAGGCAACAGTTCCACTTTCTAGTCCAGCTGGGTACTTGCCGGATTGCCAGAGGTGGCACAAGCCAAACCAGAAAATAATTTTCAAAAAGAAAAGTCTAGGCACTTTTCATGCCTTTTAGGCTGCCTTTGGGCAACACCAAAGGAAACAGGGACAGACTAAATATTGGAAGAGATGTTAGCATTGTGTTGGTGTAAATAGTTTAACTTGGATATTTGAAGACATGGTTAGTTGGTGAATGCTTCGTGTTACAGGACCTGTTTCTCTCAAAATATGATAGGATTGGGCTCTTAGTCCCTTTCCATTGTATGAGGGTTCTTTTTAAAGGACCAAATGCTTTCATTGACTCCCCCCCCCCCACACACACACAAAAAGCATTTCCCAGTTTTCCTAGTGAAAGAAGGGAAAACCAGCAAGAAGGCCTTTTTGTAATATTTTCTGAAGTGTGAGTGTAATAGATTTTAAAAAGTAACATCTTTAAGTTAGCCTTCTTAGAACCCACAATAGGGTACCAGAATTCCTAGTTCCATGTTCCTCAAATGGAAAAATGGTAGCATCACTATTCTTTTTAACCACATTGCCAAACATGCAACTAACCTATAATGTGATGCTTTTGCAAGTTGCAAAGTGAAAAGCATCTTCAGGCATTTGGTCCAAACCAGGGTTCTGTCATGCATATTGTTGTATTCCCTCTTTTCCCTCCCTCGCTCCCTCCCTCCCTCCCTCCCTCCCTCCCTTAATGTACAACTCTCTGTTTTTTAACAAACCATAGTCTGCTGCTATGTGCAAACCATCAAACTATGGTTTGTGTCAGTCTTCCAAACCAGACTTGCACACTATAATTTAATTCTGGTTTGCAATCCAGGCTTGGAGGGCTTCTTTTATCCATGAAAGATCCAAGCTGTGTAAATCCTCAGATCAAAAGTGTGCATGTCTCTCACCGCAGCTGCAAATTATTGCTTTTCTTCTTTGAATGAGAATGAAAGGAATACGGGGGCATGTACTCATTTAAAGTGCCTCCCAGATCGCTAAGCCCAGAGAGCTCTGACTGTTCAGTAGTATAAAAATGTAATAGATTCTACCCAGTCTTTCTTCCTTTTTATTTTGTGCTACCTGAAATGTGAGAAAAGAAACTGTGGTTCAGTGGTAGAAAACAGGCTTGGCCAGCAGGAGGTCCTAAGTTCAGTCTCTGCCTTCTCTTGTAAAACCATGACAGGATCCCAGAGAGTCATTGCCAGTAAGTGTCTGCACTTCCGGGCCCATGCTTAACTCAGTATTAGGCACCCTCCTATGTTTGTAAGAGATATCAAAGAGCACATAAAATAACTTCCTTGGATTCATCATTCTTCTGATGAGTTTCCCATATATGTCTTACTGCAGACTTGGGCAAGACCGAATTACTGACTGAGAGGTCCTATACTACTAGGCATACCAAATATTGGGCTCTTCCTGCTGTCCTTACCTAGAAACAAGCATAGAAGGAAGGGGACAGAATAAAGTGCTTCAGAGAGAAGAGGGATCTCATCTCTATGGCATCCCCTGAGTTTACGGAGTTTTCCAACTAGTGTCTCAGCTGGAAAAGAGAGATCTGACCATGTTCTGAAACCCCTTCTCTAGCACTTGCATGTTAAGTGTTAATTTGGCTGTTCATCTGTGATTTTTAAAGAAGCAAAGTGTGGAAGGATAGAGGGTAGGTAGTCAGCTGAGGGCTATCCCATCCTGTACTGGCATTCACTCTGGTAGGAGCTCCTGAATTCTACTTGGATTTCTTTTCTAGATGTTTTTGAAATGCAGCCATGAATGTTAAATTTGCACCTTTCCCCCAGGAAAATGAGGGAGCTTTTTATTCAACGGACCTGCTTGCTTTTCATCCTGGTGGTCATCTCTGTTCACTGTGGACGTACTACGAATGTTTGTAAAATCACAAATACGATGGCAGACTGCAGTCACTTAAAGTTGAGTCAGATCCCCTCAGATCTCCCAGCCAATATAACAGCTTTGGACATTTCTCACAACCAGCTGAAAACACTGCCGCCTGAAAACCTTACTAGGTATAGTCAACTGGCGTACTTGGATGCAGGATTCAACTCCATCTCAAAGCTGCAGCCACAGCTGTGTCAGAGTCTGCCGTTTTTAACCGTTTTCAAGCTGGAACACAATCAGTTGCATGCATTTCGTGACCAAGCTTTTACTTACTGCACAAATCTGAAGGAACTTAATTTGGGATTCAACATACTGGAACTGACAAATGAGCCTTTCAAAGATCTGGTGGTAAGATGAAGTTTTTAACCTGTCATTTGGTGGGTGACCATGGCTGATGGCATAGCCAAATTCAGATCTGTACAGCAAAGTATGAGTTGCCCTAAGAAGAGTGTGTAAATCTAGTCCTGTGTAGGAGTTAGTAAGCAGCATAGATATACGTGATCACATGGAGTAATGGTACGTGCACATGCTCTGAAGTCTGTTTGTCTTGTGGAAACCTGGCATGTGTTCGTAGTGAATGAACATGCCAATTGTGACATACATGAGTCACTTTCACAAAATATAATGTGCCTTCTGCTTGCACACTAATTTCCATAGAGTTGTGGAATGTTGTGCTCGACATCTAAATTGGTGCCAGTTTGAAAAGGGGAAGCCACCAAATCTTGCTATCCTGCAAAAAGGCCACTTAAAGTTCATCACAGCGGGATTGTTGTTGTCAAGAGAAGTTTGTGGTCCTTTTATTATGCCTTGTCACAGATTCAGTCACTATATTCTATGGAACAAGACAAGTTCTTCCCCCTGAAAAGATAAACAAATTGAATATTGCTCATCCAGATGAAAATACGGGTCTAAAAAGGCAGAAGCAAAGAAGGCAGTAGACTCCAAAACATGCATTAAAATGGTGTATTAGACAGAAGCATGTGAATTATACCCACTCTTGATATTTTGGAGATAAGGTAAGCTGGCTGAACCTGTGTGGAAGGCTATTTTATGGATGCCTGTGCTTAAGGAACTGCATATTTAAAACTCATTGCAGCCTTTGCCAACTGGTGCCCTCTAGATGTTTGGGATGTCAGCTCCAAGCATTCCTGACCATTGGCCATGCTGGCTATGGTTGATGGGAGCTGGAATCTAAAATATCTGGAGGGTGCTAGGTTAGGGAAGGCTGTGTTACACTCCTACTAAATGCACAGTAACTTTTTTTAACCCCTTAAATAGGTAGTACAATGAGATCATCATCCAAGGTCCTTCTCCGAGAGCCTCTCTAAAGAAAGGAAAGAGTGTACCCACTAGGGAAAGGGCCTTTTTGGTCATGGCACCCTGGTTATGGAACCAGCTTCCCAAAGAGGTGTGCCTGGTGCCTATCTTTATACCTTTTGGCACCAGGTAAAAACCTAATATTTTAATAGTTAAAATTTTGTTCATATTTTATCTTGTATTTTATCACACATTGCTATATTTTATTAGGTATTGCTGCTATAACTCCAGCATGATCTGGTTGCGGTTGCTGTGGGTTTGCTGTGTTTGTGGTGGGCATACTCTGGGTATAATATCATCTTTATCTGATGTACTATTTTTGTAATTTTATATGTTGCTGATAGTTGGCATATATTTGCATGCTGCAAACCATCCAGGGACCCATAAATAAATAAATATACCAGTTCTATGCTGTTCAAAAAAACCCCCACTATTACACTAAAATCCTGGGAGGAAATCACAGCTGTGATGTTTGCCCACCGCACAGCATGGGAAGCTGTGGATGATTATCTGCATGTAGCCATCATGTCTAAGCAAACTGTATTTAGGATACAAAGGGTTTTACAAAGAGGTGACTGGGCTAATACAGGGGTTCCCTGAACATTATTCCTCCCAATTGTAGATACATAGGTGTGGTGCAGCTGCTGAATAAGGGGGGTGGTTGGGGGGAATGCACTTTACACACCTCTATGCAACCTGTTTCTTCTTAATTTCCCAAATTCAAGCAATAGCTACTAGACTTTAATATGTTCATGGTTCAGCCCAATGCATGCTAAGCTAGAAAACTTTGGCTGTCTGGAGAATGTTGGGAAGACTTCTTTCTGTCTAAACTTGCATAGGATTATTTATTTATTTGGGATATTTTTAATCCGTCCATCACTCTGGGTCTCTGGATGGCTTACAATAGGGATTGTGCTCTTAAGATGTCAGGCTGATGGGCCATGGCTCAAATTAAGTCCCAGTATTAAAATTATGTACTATACTGACAATTAGGTCCTGTTTGTGCAGCATATTCGCTTTTATACCAGCTTAGCTTTTGTGACTTCTGAAGAATCCTGACGAAGTCTCAGGAATTTCCTTGTACAGATTCCTACAAAGTGTACATCCCAAAGAAAATGTGCAAAGAAGGTATTTACTATTCCCAAGATTCCTGTGTATAGGGAATATCAGCTTAAAAGTGTAGTATTGATCTATTATTCTGAATAAAACTGTAGTGCAACCTTCCCCAATGCAATGTTCTCAAAATGTTTTAAGTTAGAATTCCTATGAGCCTGATGGAAACAAAAATGACAAAACTGAAGCCACATCATGGTAAGGCAAGACAATAATGCTAGGGAAGGTTGAAGGCAGAAGAAGGGGAAGACCGAATACAAGACGGATTGATTCTATCAAGGATGCCACAGCCTTGAATGTGAAGCTGAGCAGGGCTGTGAAGAACAGGACAGTTTGGAAAGCATTCATTGAATTGCCATCAGTTGGAGAAGACCTGATAGCACGTAACAGCAACATCAGCCCAAACCAACCATCAGGAAGTTGTAGTCTAAAACATCTGGACGTACCAGGTTAGGGAAGGATGCAGATTAGAGAAGGATGCTTCTCTATCCTTTCTCTTGACTGATATATTTAAGGGTTATCTTTTATTTCAGAAGACCTAGGATAACTTGCTCAGTGCCATGCTAATGTCTTCCTGCAATTGACCAAATTTATCACAACCCCCAACAGGCTTGTAAATCTGTTCTACTTATTGTGTTGGTCATCTTTTAACAAAATGGTCAAAATGAGTTTAAAAGGCATACCACTTCTTATACCAAGAAACAACAACAACAACTTCTCTTTCTCTTCATCAGAACTTGACCTTCCTGGATGTCTCTCATAATCATCTAAGTTCTGCAAAACTAGGATCTCTCCCACAGTTAGAGAATCTTCAGGAACTTGTGCTGTCTCAGAACAAAATCACTGAATTAAAGAACAAAGACTTCTATTTTCTTGGGAACTCTTCATTGAGGAGACTGGACTTGTCATTAAACCCCTTAAAGGAGGTAAATAATATATGGCCTGGCCTGTAGTCTTGGTAAACAGGTGTTGTTTTACTGAGACAGGAATTGTAGCTAGCTGTAATACCGGTTTGTGTTATTTCGAATGAATCTGTTCAACTAGTCAGTGAAAGTATTATCGTCATAATCTCTTTTACTATTAGGACGGGGCTTTCATTTTTGGGTCATTGTGCCATGCTGCACAAAAGGGAAGACTGCTACCTGCCTTATCAGGGGTAGGTGTGCTCAGGTGTGCTCATGTCAACCCAACCTTATTGGGTTGACATGGGCACACCTAGAACAGCTGCTCAGATCTCGCCAGTTCGACATGTCAAGATCAGAAGTGACGGGATAGGATGGCAAGCTCAGTGATGTAGGAGGTGGGGCCAGTGAATATGGTCCCATCCCTGTACATACTTTACAAGCCCAGAGGTTGGTAACCTGTGGCCTTCCAGATGCTTTGGCCTCTGATTTCTATCAGCCAGCTATCGGTGGTGAGGGATGATGAGAATTTATGCAAAACATTTGGAAAGCTAACAAGTTACTGAGCTGATTTTTAAGCCCAAACATTCTCTTGAATGCCGAAAGAAGGCTAGGGTGCAGTTATGTACGGATGTGTGAGGTTAAGCAGTAAGTGTGCGTTATTGAGCATGTTTGTGTCACTGTTTGGATTCCACAGGGTTGGTATATGCTACAGAGCATATACTGGTGAGTAATAAATCAGCTTTTGTTTTTGCTTAAGTGCTGTCTGCAGTGAGTTGGCGGGTGGGTGTTACCTTGAAGCCACTTTTCTCAAATTGTTCCAATGGCATTAAATTACATTTTTTATATTTATCCAAGCTCCTTACAAGTAACGGGTGCGGGGAAGCAAGAGATTGCAAATATGTGCAGCTGGGATTTGTATTCATTTGGAGGAGTCTTCCTACAGATAGCTGTAGAAGGCAGGACCAGGAGCCAGTGGACTCAATTCTATCCCCCTTCTGTATGTGCACAATTTTGTTTGTTTATTGATTTCATTTCTCTCCTGCTTTTTTTCCTCTTGCAAGGAACTCAAAGGCTTATATAATTTCCTTTTCCCTTTCCATTTGTTCCTCACAACAACCCTGTGAGGTGGGTTAGTCTGGGAGTCTGTGACTGACCAAAATCTCCAGGGCTTCATGGTTGAGCAGGGACTAGAATCTTGAACCACGCTATGCAGAGAACATCTGACAGGGGCTAAGCCTCGAAGTGGGAGCTCAAAATAGCCTTTTTCTGATTCGTTTCTGAGCTACAAAATGAGAAGGCTTCTGTAGCAGCAGATAATCTAGAAATGGGATGGTCCACAAGTGGAAATTTCCCGCCCTTGATTTTTAGGGATTGCCCACTCTCCCTTCAGGCCCCCATGACCCATTCAGCAGAATCCCTGCGCCTGGATTGAATATTTTTGGTGGGCTGAAATGGGGAGCCAGCTTCTGCTTTCCCTTTATGCATGTGCAATTCTGGATTTAGCCCACTGTCCAATTTATGTAGCACTGGGTCAAGTCCTTTGATGCCAATTTTGCAGGGGCTGACCAGAAATCTAGTAACTGTGAAGTGGCGCAGGTTCCTGTGCTTGCCAGTACAAAACAGTGATTTATAGAGGAAGTGGTAGAGGGTCTATTTAAAAAGTGTTCCTGGCCACTGCTTTAACTTGCCCCTGAGTTGCAATCAGCAGCCTGGTGACTTTGCAGTAGTTTAGAGAATTGTCTCCCCACAAAAAGAAAAAGAAAAAAAAATAGATCCTAGCCTCCCCAAAACGAAACAAGACCCAAAAAAGTCTCTATGCCATTATTGTTTCAAAAATGTATAGGCTGAGCACTTTGGCCCAGCACTAGTATCACGTAGCATTCTTTGAAAACTTAAAAAAAATTTTGGTCTTTCCAGTTTGATCCAGACTGCTTCCACGCTATTGGAAATCTGCATGGTCTTGTCCTGAACAATGTGCCATTGGGACCTGATGGCACAGAGAAACTTTGCTCAGCATTATCCAGCACAAGAATTCAGAATCTGTCAATGAGCCATGTGCAACTTTCACAAATTTCCAAGTCAACCTTCAGAGGAATGAATCAAACAAATCTCACCATTTTAGATCTATCTGATAACAGCTTGTCAGTGATAGAAAATTACTCGCTTGCCAATTTTGCAAAATTAAAGAATTTAAATCTGATGAATAATAATATTACTTACCTGTTTCCTTATTCACTCTATGGACTACACAGTGTGAATTATCTAAATTTGGAAAATTCACATATTAAAAAAATTGATTCTGCTTTCCAGTGGCTAAAACAGTTAGAGAATCTTATTATGGATGGTAATAAATTTCTGGAAATTACTCCTAATACATTTAAAGGTTTAGAAAATTTGAAAAACTTGAGTTTAGGGCAGTGCGATATGACTTCAATGACAAACAGAACTTTTTCATCACTTGCTAATTCTACATTGCAGTTTCTCAACCTAACAAAAACTGGAATCACTTCCATCAAGCCCAGGACCTTTTCTTGGCTGAGACAGCTAAAAACCCTGGATTTATGTTTCAATAACATCAAGCAAAAGCTCACAGGGCAGGAGTTTCAAGGTCTTCGTAATATTGAGACACTCTATCTATCTTACAACTATCAGCTGAACTTGACAAGTGAATCATTCACTTCTGTCCCAAGCCTTAGAAAGCTGAGGTTGAGAAGGGTGGGTTGCAAAAACCTTAATATTTCTCCCTCACCTTTCCGTAAATTAAACAATTTAACAATCCTGGATATCAGTAACAATAATATCGCAAACATGAGAGATGATTTATTTGATGGACTCCAGCAGCTTGAAATCCTTGATCTACAGCATAATAATCTGGCTCGACTTTGGAAGCAGGGTAATCCAGGTGGCCCTGTACTCTTCTTGAAAGGCCTTCAGAGCCTGCATCTCCTTGATTTGGAATCTAATGGCTTTGATGAGATCCCATTAAATGCTTTCCGTGGCTTATCTCAACTGAGAAGCTTGAATTTGAGATACAATAATTTGAATTTGCTTCCAAAGTTTGTCTTTGATGATTTAACATCTCTGAACGCACTGTACCTTGAGAAGAATCTAATCACAGCTGTTGAAGAAAAAGTATTTGGTAAAGTTTTCAAAAATTTGAAAGTACTAAATATGGGATACAATCCTTTTGATTGCACTTGTGAAAGTATATCTTGGTTTGTTAATTGGCTGAATACCAGCAAAACTCACATCTTGGGTTTGAATACTTATATATGTAACACCCCTTCTAAATATCATAAAAATACGGTAGCACAGTTTGATACCTCACCATGTGATAGTGCCCCCTTTAAGCTGGTCTTCATTTTAAGTGCTACTTCGGTATTGCTCCTAATCTTTCTGATCCTACTCATCCACCATGAAGGATGGAGGATACAATTTATATGGAGTGTGGCAGTAAGCAGAGTCCTTGGCAATAGAGAGATAGACAGAGTACAGAAACAGTATGATTATGATGCCTACATCATTCATGCCAAAAAGGACACGAACTGGGTGTGCAAGAACTTTATCTCTCTTGAAAACAACACTCAGCAAGTAATTCGGTTTTGCTTAGAGCAACGGGATTTTGAAGCTGGAATATCTGAAATTGAAGCCATTGTTGACAGCATAAAGCGGAGCAGAAAGATTATATTTGTTGTAACTGACCATCTCTTAAAAGATCCTTGGTGTAAAAGGTAAGATCAAAATTATATACAGAACTTGCTTTCTGTTTGTTTTTAGGATACTTCTTCAGTCCAAATTGTAAACTGTTTCCAAATGACTTGCTTCCTGGGCGATGAATCTTTGGCATTTAGTATCGAGTGTAAAAGACTGAAGCAGATGCAAAATAAATAAAAAGCAAATTTGTCGGACATATGCTAATGAAAAATTTATGACTCTTTAAACATTACCAAACTTCATAGTACTTCACTTTTTGTAGCATTTAAGTTAATACCTTGTAAGTATTAGTGCTTGCTTCTGGAATGTTTCAGGCAGTTAATCTTCAAACAGGTAATCTTGCTCAGTGATCTTACAAGGAGACATATAAATAGAAGTTTCACAATTGCTTTCCTGTGTTGAAACAGATATAAATTCTACAATGCAAAAGGCATATGGGATGCCTTGTAACTGTGTTCCTAAGTTACCTAAACATTCTCTTTAGCCACCACCAGTATGTTGTGATAGTTACAACAGACGTTTGGGGTGTCATGAGCATGTGAGTGCAGGTGCTTGCATAAGCGATCATCTGTATGCGTTCAAGCATGCATTCTGGCAGGGGATCCTACAAGGGTTGCCTGCTACCCTTTTCCTGTCCCTAGGCTGAGAAATCTACCTTGGGACAGGACTCAGTAGTTATTCATACAGCTTAAATGGAGGTCCTTTTTGACGACAGACTGAGACTTAGTCCCAAAAGCCTTGCTGGGAAACATACCAGGCACTGCCACCAAGGAAAGGCCCTCTGCAGCCTCCTGTTGGTGGAATTGTTGTGTGTAGCATCTGGATTTGGGGACTTTAGCACCCTTGCCCAGATCTTTACTGGGAAAAGTGATCTGCTGGGGCTTAGGACTGCCAGACTGGACTATTCTTAAACAAAGTCTTGCAATCTTCTAGTCGGATGCCCTTTGAGAAGTGATCTTAGTTCTGTTACTATGTCCTGCCCTTGCTTAATGCTTTTTTCTAGAGGATCACTCACAAATTGATCCTATAATTTAAAAATGAATCGACTGCAGAAAACCTGCTATGTGAAATAATCTGGATAATAAGCAAGTTTTTGTTAAACTCTTTTAAAAATATATTTGTTTTCCTGTGAAAACCTGTTATTTCATTTATTCAAGACCATCCCTTACATGTTCATTGCTTTTATAGAGTAATATAACCAAGAAAGCTTCCTGCCCTAGAAGTTTAAAATCTTAATTTTTACAGTGGTGGTATCACAAAGAGACAACAAAGAGGCAGAAGGGCAGAAGGGCAAAACAATTATGATAGCTAATGTACCTCCATGTACTTACGATCTGAATTATCGACACCACTTCTAGGCAGTATCCCACAGTGGTTGTGGGACTGTCTGCCAGTGCAATGGGCAAGATAGTTCCTCAAGCAACCAGGACTGAGCAGGAATGTTTGTTTCTGGGGCAGGGCAGGTTAGCTGTGCTTGCAGAGGGAGCTCTGCTTATCTTTTCTGCAAAAAGCATTTCTACTTATTTCTGGAATTGCTTTAGGAATCCCTTTAGCTTCCTATTGTGCTCACAATTGTTCCCTTGGGTGCAACAGAAAGGCACAGCAGCATATTGGATACTGCTCCAAATGACCTAATTAATGAAAATATTTTTTGTGTGTGCTCCATCAGTCAGTGTGAGATTTGTCTCAGAAAATGTTTGCCCATAAGTAAAATATTGTATGTACTAAACATTTTTTCCTTTTTCTTTTGCTCAGGTTTAAAGTACATCATGCCATACAGCAAGCCATCGAACAAAGTCGGGATTCCATCATTTTAATTTTTCGGCATGACATTCCTGATTACAAATTGAATAATGCACTTCATTTGCGAAGAGGAATGTTCAGGTCTCGCTGCATCTTGGAGTGGCCAGTCCAGCAGGACCGTCTGAATGCATTTTACCAGAAATTAAAATTAGCACTTCGGTCTAGTAGTAGAATACTATGAACATTTCAGATGTTTTGGATATTTGATTCAGTGGCCAATATGCTACCCATCAAGTGCTTGAAAGCCACTTGTATCAGGGCTATCTGTAACGCAAAAGATTAAATGAGCACCAATCAGAACATCCGTAAGCCTGTCAGTGAACATTTTGACCCTAAGGAGGTACCATTGAGGACCTTAGAATGGCAGTTCTAAAGAAACTGAATTCAGTCATAGCTTGGAATGTGCATTTGCAGAACAAGAAAGGATGATTGGCATCACTTTTGTTAATGAGGGGTTCAGAGGGAACTATGGTTTCTGTGCGCGATAAAAAGACTCGGAATGAGCTAATGGCCCATAGATGGCATCTAGGAGGAGCCTTGGGGTTTTGATTCTCAGGTCTCCAATCCTGACCTCAAAGTCTGTGCTTGGATCCTTCCCCCCTGCTGGAGCTGGTGTGCAAAGAACAGTGCGATTTGCTTGGAGAAGGGGTAAAGGGAATGGAGAGGAGAGGAGATGGGAGTTGTGCTTCTTGCCTCCGCATCTAAAGTGCCAAAACTAGAAACAGGCCATCTAACTAGATTGGTGTAACAGGCCTGAACTCCCAAAAGCTGGGCCTGGCTCTCTAGCCCTTTTAGCTGCTTGCTTGGCTTGGCATTGAGGTCTAGTTGCTTCCAATAGTACAGCAGAGCTTTACTTAGCATTGCTCTGACCATGACAGGCTGCTTTCACCAAACTAGGGAGTTTTCCTTTCCAAGGTTGAGGTGGCACAAGGAGCATGCATGCTGCCCTTGAATGTTCCTTATCAGGCATTGCTTCTGCAAGCAGAACGCTCAGACAGAGATGAAACATTGGCCATCCAGACAGGAATACTACTTGTTTGCTCACTATACTGGATAATCTTTTAGCACCTGTGCAAACAATAGTACTCTTGCAATCATATATTTTAATTATGTAGATTGCTGTACACATGTGTTACAGTGCCATAAGTTTGTAATCTATAAAAGCTAGGCACTTTCTCTGTTCTCTGGTTCAGAGTCTTTTTGAGGGGGATTTTCCTGTTTTTTCTGAACCCAGCTGATTGATGTCCTACCATGCAGGAGCCCTGACTATGTGGTGTAAGAGACTTGCTGCTAAAAGTTTGTGAAGTCTAGCTAGCATGTTTGGGTATTATTTCAATAATAAATGATCTCTTTCTTAGTAAACCTGGAGTTGGTGTATCCCTTGCTGGCAGTCATTAAAAAAACCTTCTGCCCCCAACCAGGGCAACACTTGGAGAATAGGAGGAGCCAAGAAGTGGAAATCACTCCTACTACTCTCCCTGGTCTGTACTGGGTACTCATAAACCTCAAAGCTTACAGGTGTCAAGGGTGCAGTCCACTGAATTGTTCCCTTCATGTTTGTAAATATTGCTTTAAGAGAATGGACTACCTGCTTCAGAGCCACCTGAGACTGAAAGCCTCCAGTTCCACTTACAGCATCTGATGAAGGAAGTTGTAATTCAGGAAAGTGCATGCCAATTTCTCAAATTATGTGAACTACTAAAAACAATTAGTCTATATGTGTCCTATATCGAACCCTTGAATTTGTAAATAGAAGGCTGGCACAGTTGTACTATAATACCCAACAAAGAGAGTCTAAAGCCATTCCTCTGAATCGTCTCAAAGTGACCAATGCAAAAGAATAAATGGAATGAAGTAGGTAGAAATCTCTGCAAGATGCAGAAAGTGAAAGAGCAGAAATCAGTATCTCTTTTTCCTTGTGCCCTGCAGAAGACGACAGGAGCACGAGGGCAAAACTGACCCCCGCAATGGGCCTTACAGGATGCTTTATTCAGGTCACCTTTCCAGCCGCTTACCCTTGTAAAAGAAAGGGAATGCAAAACAGGGTAGTCTGTAGTTGGGCCCTTCCTGATCTAACAAGAGAACATGCCTGAAGATAATTTTGTTTGATGCTGCTGTGAGTTGAGGTTCCTCCTCCGAGCAGTCAAAAGCCACAGACCATTTTCCTTGTAAAATGTTCTTTATTGCTCCCAACCCCAAATCAGCCAGATTGGATGTCTGAGCACAGGATAAATATGTGTCTATATATCAATTCTCATGACTGATTTCAGAAAATTTGGATTTTAAACAATATATCCATTCATGTGTAATTGGTATTCTATTACAGGGTCTGCCCCCTCACTTTTGGTATGGACATAGTAGCAAATTGTAGAAATATTTATTTATTTATTCAGGGGACATTTATTTATTTATTTATGGGACTTCTATGCCGCCCCATTTGCCGAAGCCTCGGGGCGGCTCACAAACCATAAATAAATAGAATTAAATAAAACAATAAATATTAACAATATAAATTAAGTTGCCCTGGCCAAAGAATAAAATGAATAAATAATATTAACAATTAAAATAACATTTGAATAAAAAGGTCTTCGCCTGGCGCCGAAAAATAACGACGGCACCAGGCGGACCTCTCTGGGGAGCGCATTCCATAGATGGGGCGCCACCGCAGAGAAAGCCCTCCTCCGGGTACTTACCCTCCTAATTTCCTTCACGGAGGGTTCCCGGAGAAGGGCCTCTCCCGCTGATCTCAAGGGGCAGGCGGGCATATATACTTTTTAAAGAGATGTGTTTTTATTTTAAGATCCTAACAAAATTTAGGGGAAGAAGACAAACACGTACAAAGAAGGAATAGTGCAACATATTAAATTAGCCTGTAAAGGGAAGATTTCAACAGATCCAAAGTCAGAACAAATAAGTTTCTTTAAAAGAAAGAGGTAGGATTGCTGCATGATGCATTCTGACTGGTAAGTTAGAAGCTGTCTTTCTAGAAGCACCCAAGGTGACAATAAAGGATCTTGTTTACAGGTGAACTGGTATGTGATGATTCCTTAATTACAGTATTTGGATTATCTTCATTGTGATGCTGTCATCTCACATTTCTGATCTTTTCAGTTGAAGTGACATACTCTAGTTTAAGCCATGAAAGCTGAGGCGTTTATAAATTGCTAAAGATCTAGGCATTCTTTAGCAAAGCAAAGCAAACCATAGTTCCGTGTGTCCGAGGCTTGTTCGTCTTTGCATTTCTTGAACAAGAGCCCATAATTTTTTTTTTAAAACAGGCTACAAATCCCATCGAACACATTGCTTCCAAGTAGAAATGCACTGGATTGCACTCTCTGATAAGGCACTTTCAAAAAATTACACCTCCAGTGACTAAAAACAAATGTTTTATATAGCTGATCATAAATCTCAAGCTTGCACATTGGCTATACAATGAAATAGAAATATTTGAATTTGTTGGAAAACAACATGTAGAACACAATTATGAATTCACACAGAATAGATACCGCATAAAAATATTTTCTGAAAAATTCAGCTAGGTCAGCCAGATGCAAAAATGTAATGATGATGAGCTATCCATGTTGTATTTTAAAACTAGGAGTTTTAAACCTTAGTTTTATTAAATGTAGATGGGGCAACAGGCATATTAGTCTTACTTTAGTTTGGAGACTTGGTTTTGTATAAGGAGCTTAAGGAGATTCATTTTTGACAGCTACAATTGAATTTACCTCCTGTTGGTGCTTGGTGGCAGGGGAAAAGGTGGCTGGCTATATAAAAATTGACATGTAAAAAATACATAAAATCTATTTGAAGCAAAATATATGGCTGGATTTGAAAGTTCTTGTGAAAGCTACATTGTAATGCATATGGAATTAAGTTCCCTCTGGAGTAGAAAGACCTATATGTGCATCCAACTCTTGTGTTGACAGTGCCTGCATTTGCTTGCATATTCCAATGTGAATTTGATTTATACCTATGGTGGCAAAAGGCAAAGCCCATGGGGTGGGTGGTCTGCAGGGCTTGAGATGACATCAGTATAAATCAGTCCAGTTTTAGGTGTGCTTGTGTAAGCACTTAATCAAGCAAACTAACATACTAATTGCCATATTCTTGATGTGCCCAGTTATTTTTCATATATTCCATTATGCATTACATTGTGACCTCAGATCAACTCATGCTATATGAGGGGATGGGCTTGCCTATCATCCATCCATCTCCTGCCAAAAGAGGTTAAGGCTGTATTGTCACAGCCTAGATAAACAGGGATGCCGAAAGTTAAAGAAAAAGCAATGGTTTTATTAGAAAGACATTGGAGAAAGGCATGTGTGGGACCATGTCTAAGAGAACACACACTGTACCCATCTGACAGTCTGCCAGAAATTTATGCATGTCACAAAGCATGGCAGAAAAGCATAACTAAGCACACAGTAATTTTCCAAGTTACAAGCTCTACACTGTTTTTATAAACAACCCTTGCCACTATGAGTAACATTTTACTTAGGAGTCGAGGTTACAAGCATGGAGGTAAAAGCAAAGCTGTCTCTGTTCGCTGCTTCTTCTACAATGACAATGTTCATGTCATTTCGATCCAATTCCTTCCTTTCGTTGCTGTCTAACAGGATTCTCAGCCAAAATTGTTTAAATTAAAACTTCCAATGGGAGACCGCACGTTCAAATACGCGATCTTCCGACCTAAAGCCTAGAGAGAACAGGTTGACTTGCGCGCCCGCTTTTTGCGAGAGCTAGGCCAAGTTCTTCCTGAACTCGGCTGGATTTAATTTCCAAGGAACCGTGCACGGAGCACGGTTGGGGGGTGGGGGGGGGGGAGGGAGGGCGAGCTTGTACATTATGTTGTGCTGTGGCAATTGCCTCTAAAGAACTCGCATTACAACAGCAGGAGGAACAGTCTCTCCGCAGTGTTTTTGTTTTGCAAGACACGCGTCCTTTCCATTTTCGCCTCCTTCCCGACGCCTGGAGAGAGGGCGCGCGGCTGCCGTTGCTGCCAAGTGCCCATTGCCTGTGACTCGCTCGGTTTTGTTTGGCTTAGCAACCGCCGCTCCCTCCCTCCTTTCCTCCCTCCGTCCGTGGGCACCGGGTGGGCAGAACCGGCAGGCCCGAGCAATCCTGAAGTTTAGTTCTCTTCCCCGGGCGCGCCCACCGGTTCAAGGCAAGAAGAGCTTGGGGTCGAAAGGAAGGCGCCTTGGGAAGGCGAGGCTCCCCGGCTGCTGGCGGGAAGCGGTGCCCTCGGCTTCGCTCTTAGGAGACGCAGGACCCCTCTCAGACCAGGCGGCAGCAGCGGCGCCACCATGAAGGTTGCGGTGCTCGACCTGGGCACGGCTTTTGCCAAACTCTTCAAGCCCGCCGCCTCTTCCCCTCCTTACTCGCCCGCCGGCACGGGCGCGCCTCAGCCGAAGTCGCTGCTTCTCCTCCCTCCCACGCTTTCTCCCCCGGACGCCCCCTCTTTGCCCGTCCGCAGCGCGTCCTTGACGCCCGCGGCGGGCTCCCACGCCGCAGCGGCCCCAAGCCGCCCGCTTCCAGGCGGGGCCCGCACTGGGACGGCGCCGAAGCCCCCCGGGGCCCCCGCCGGCGGCAGCAGCTCCCCGCGCTTGGCAGCGGCGTCCCTGCCAAGAGAGCCTGGGGCTTGGGCGGCGCCCGCTGGCAAGCAGCTGCTCTTCGTCACTCTGCCCGACATCGGCGAGGAGGGCGCGCCCGACGCGGACGGCCAGGAAGACGCCTCTGCGCCCAGGCAAGTGGGGGAGCGCGTGGGCGACTCGGGGCCACAGGCTGCTGGGTTCTCTTCCTCGGGTGTGCACAGAACCACTGACCAAGTGGATTGCTTGCAGACTGGAGGAGACGCTTACTCCGTTTCTTCCTGGGTTTCTGATCGCTTTTTGATCTCCCTTACTGCTTGCGAGGAAAATACAGGGGTGCTGCTGTATCACCACATGTTGGATTAGTATTGGTGTGCCATCAGCGTGGTTTGTCAGGGACAAGGGGCAGGGGTCACTTTGAAAATGATGTTCTAGATAAGGTCCCATATCTGTGCCTGTATAGCATTCTGTGGTTGGTATCCAGCAGTCGCCTTACACAGAGCAGATGCATAGGAACAAATGGGCCAATTCATTTCACTGTGTCTGTTGTGTGCAACAAACATGGGGTACTGCCCTCCTTTGGAGAGAGGCTGAGCGTAATGTGGAAGCTGCTGCAGAAGTGTGCTGAGTGTCTTGGATGAAGACCAGGGCATATGTGCTTAGGAGATGCTCATGAGATGTATGCAGCAGAGACATACCTATATGGGGAAGGTGAGCTGTATGCTTCTGGGCAGTAAAAGAGAGACACTGTGGTGTAGTGGTCAA